ACAGTTAACTTTTAGCAGTTTGTAAGTAAACCCATAATACCTGAATATGTTTATGTATGCCTCGGATAATAGCATTTCGGTAGGTGTCAGAGCAGGTTTTTATTCAGCCCTGCTCACTGATGTGGTTCCGCATCCATTCACTGCAGTTCTAAAGTACCATGGAGTCGTTGCCTCCTTAAACCATTCTCTATGCTACTAGATGCAGTGGGACGATGTGATTACGCATTGCAAATTCTGAGAATTGACAGGAGAATACCATATATACAGTATTTACTGCACATTTTCGTCTTTATTAGTTATTTTTCGTATTATCTTTTAGGAGAAGGATCCCCTTAGCAAGTATAATGTATCTTGCTTGTTGGTTCTGCCTCCATTTCACTCGAAAGGATATGGGCGACTGCTAATCGATTTCAGTAAGTTTCATTGTAATTATTTTTGAATCAGTAGTTTTATAGAATTTCCATAATCAAACAAGATATGAATGTTCTTATTTTGAAGTTTCGTAGTATCAGAGATTCTACAAAAATTTTTGCCTGTACCTTGCCTCTGTCAGCTCACTGTTGTCTACAACAAGGATGCAATCGTTCTGACGAAGGGTCGTGGCCTATGCACTGCAGCGTTGGCTTCGACGCGTAATGAGAATCAAATGGTTGGACCACATAAAAAACGACTCCATCTTATTCCGAGCACAGCTTTCCTCCATAGATGTAATATTTAGAAATTACGATCGCCTTGTTAGACAAACTGGTTTAGCATATACGATTTACTCCAGCCAGTCCGCGTCCGTATCCTAACCGAAACACTACAGACTCATACAGGAAGCCAGCATGCATCATGAAAGAATGAGGTAGAGGCCGATTTGCTTTCAGAGAGGAATATTTCCTTCTGCGATGAGACAGCCTGTTCTTCTTAGCGAAAGTGTTGACAAGTTACGATTATAGCTTATATCAAGAAGGCAGAGACGTTCTGCTTATGCAAACCGGTCAGCGTGATGATCTCAACATACTCACAATTGTAAGTATTTATAAAGGCGTCTTTTATCCTGGAAAATATTTAACAGTACTTCTAATGAAACGAGAAAAGCAAATGGTAAGATTAATATTTAGTAATGTGACGAACAGTTTTTTCAGCTGGTCCGTAAGTCTGCCCAGAAATCAAAAGGTAATGAGAAACCTATTGGGCTGGGCTCAACGAATCTATAAGTGAGACAGGGAGATAGAAATTGGAGGTTGGCCAATTTAAGTATCTCGGTTCCACCATTTCCAGCCGTAGCACCGTTCACAATTAAATATCCGACATGCCCGTCTCTTCACTGCTTTCAATAATATGTCCATTATATGGACTAACAAGTCAGTGCCCATTTCCAATAAAGGAACCCTCTCCTGATCTGACGATTGATGCTGTATGGAATAGCATAGACTCTTTGCTCCAGTCTACAAGTTTCCTATCCCGTTGGAATCTAATCACTACAGCTTATACCCGAAGGCTAGTGTGTAACATGGTAAAACATGATAGAGCCAGATTTATATTCGGAGAAAAATATTTCCTTCTATCAGTGATCGATTGCTTATAGCAAACGTTGTAAGAAGCTGCAAATCAAACGTACATCACAGGCCTCACTTGTTCGGCTTGTGCTGCTAAACGTGATCTGCTAAATGTAAGCTGCTAAACGTGATCACAATGTACAAGCATATGACCATCGCTGAGAAACTCCTGCGCCTGCATTTTCAGCAATCGTTTATGCAGATTACCCTGTTTTTTACGAATTTAGCGACTGGAATTCATAAATTTTGTTTATTCTCTTATACAGTTATAATGTAATGACTGGCTTAGTTGTAGTTTAGTAATCGTTGACTGTGTCTTAACGTTATGGAGCACTTTGTTATACGTCTGCATTGCGTATTTTGTTAACTCTTGCATTGTACAAATTTACTCATATTTGTTGTATTCTTTTGCTCTTCAAATTATTACACTACGACTAGACTTATGGAAAGAACATCTCAGATTTTTTGCGTTGCACGTAGAAAAAGGTTGCGGTGGAATTGCGATGGAGGTGGGAGGACGTTTACCATCCATGTTTACGACCTGAAAGTGGTTTTATAATGTTTCTGGTCAATATATCATGTGTTGCGTGATTTGATTCTTAACGTCTTGATATTGTTTTATGTTATATAATTTTAGGTTATATGTTGACGAGAATCGAGCGGAAGACTAGCTCACCAGAGCATCCCTTGTCTGATCTTGGATTGATCGCTTACCGGAAGTACTGGATCTCAAAAGTTATGGAGTACATTAACGGCCTTTCCAATGATCAGATGTTTAGTATGGCAGGTATTAACGACGCTGAATGCTTGATGCGCGCTATTTCTCTCATGGCTTTCTGTTGCTTATCGTAATTCTGTATATTACACTAATGGCAGTGTGAATTCTTTATTTAGCTGCAGAATATATTTATATATTTTCTGGTCCTATAGAATTTGATCGTCTTCTTCGACTTCCATGATAACCACCAATCGTGGCCCGTTCGTTTTCATATGCTATGGTAGCACAGTGTTGAGGAGGTTTGATTCGAACTCCTGAAAATGCGGGTTCGATTTCGCTCGACAGCTATCTTTGTCCTTTAGATGAATTCCCTTGAGCAAGGAATTTACCACACAGTGCTTCAGAATGGGGTTGCTCAATCAACACTGCCTTGAACTGGGAACCGACAGACCCCCAGTTCAAGCTCTAGTCAGGGTATTTCGCCCTTCTTCCTACCGATGTTGAAAAAGGAGTAAAATGTTCGAAGGTAACAGGAGACTACACACTGCACTTGCCACATGGCTGTATACTTTGCCTTCACAAAATAAGGCACTCTAGCACTTCTGGCTGGTGGCAAAGAAACGAATGTCAGCAACACATCAGCTTCATAAAACGAGGGTTGCCAAAATGGTCCAATCATAAAAGTTTAGGAAGACTGATACCGATATTGCATCAGTGACAAACTGTCCTTTTTTTGCATGAAGCTTACCTGTCTTTCTTTACCAGTAGCCAGTAGTTATTTGAAGAGCTATGTCCGCATCTGTCGTAAGCACACAATGTTTATAGTCTTCTGCTTCTTTACCATGAAGTGGTACTCTTTTATCTACGTCTGAAGTATTAAAGGCAATTAATCCTTCCGGTTTTGAGTTCATGATCTTTTGATTTTAAGCCTGACGCTCTACTGAGTAAAAAATCCTGTGGAATCGTCTTATCTTGATAGATGCTTGTGATGATGTCAGAAATTTATCGTGTGTCTGTGCCTCTTTCTTCAAGTTGAATTGTAAAGACTCAGTTTGTCCTTCGAAACTGAGTACGCTTTTCTACATCATTTCTGAACTGTGATAATGCTGATATTAGAAAATCAGGTACGCTGCAGCAAAGTACGTTCTTCAGTCACTCTATAGAGCAGTGATCGATTGTTTCTGTACTTACTCTGGTGGCCTGTGCTTAAAAGTTGTTTATCAAATTTTCCCTGCTAACGTAGATTTTGCACTAATTTTCAATACTAACGATGCAGTAGTTACTTTCGGCGCTGTGACAATGCAACGTGAGGCAAAAATACAAATTCGTTTATGTCCTAAAATAATACATTACCCCAGGAGCAGAGAAAAGTTGAAGAAATTGAAATTGGTACAAAAATAAGACGACATTTTAATACTGCATCCTTGCCGTGCAGGCGAAAGCCTAGAATTAATTTCTCATTTTAACCGTTTTTTGTTAGATATATCTCAAGAAACTGGCATTCATCCTAACGATATTGCTTCAACGCTTCAGTACATTGGTATCGTCAAAACATGGCGAGGAAAATACTGGATATACAAGTCAGAAGTATGATTTTCCTTATCTGTAAAGCACGATTTTTTTTTGAATTCTCAGCTAATAAGTCATTTATAAGTACATCGTAGCCATTCTGATCCTCGGCCTTTTTCTGAAATCTTCTATGGTTTGTCAGTTCGTAACTGATGGCATTAAGCACCGCACTTGTTTTTTTGTCAGCTCATTGCCAAACCCTTTTTGCCACGTACGACACTGTAAAGTTAAGGCGCGACTGATATTGCAGGCATATTCATTGTGAGTCTATTCTAGCGTGGCTCATAGGCACCAGATTTTAACCGTCACATTTATGGCTTTAAATTTAAGCTTTTGTTTGAGTCATTCATTGGGTCATTTGAGACGTTTTTTCAAGTTGATTTATTGCACGTTCGTTTTATCGCCAGAATCAAAAGTCAAGCCTTCATTGTTTTTTTATTACAGACGCATTCATCTAAATGGAGTGTTAATTTCTGAAGCACACTGCAGATAAGTACTCTTTAATTAGGTTGTTCGATTTTAACTGCGTTTTTTAACGTATATCTTAAAGTCTCCGCACTAGACGCTGTACACAACATTCAAAAACTATTTCGGATTTCTCAGGGCTACTTTTTGAATCTAGGCATTCCCAAACGACTCACGTCGGTATTTTAATAGGTCTTAATTAACCCCGTGTCAACGACCTTCTCCTGATTGGCTCTCCTGGCAGTGAGGTGGGAATCATACACTTTCCAGGGTTGTTTGTGATACAAATGCACGTTTTGTTTATTTGATGTTGCAACAAATACAGTTTCATCAACTGCCGAACATCCATCAATAATGTCAGGTTAAGTACTTTAGTTTTCTCAAGACAGTATTCAGTATATTTCCTCTACACTATTATCATATTTATAAGTCACTGTACAGAATCCTCATCTTCAGTGACCGCTTCTCCTTTCGGGTCGCGAAGGCAGACGCGTCAGACAATGCTGCCAACGCTCCCGATCCTGTGCCAGGGTCTGAGCTTCGGCAGAAGATAACGGAGTCTCACCAGGCTCCTTCCATAAATTTGCACCAGGTTAATCTTAGCCATCCCTGTGACCTTCTGCCGGTCAGATTGACAAGAGTTGCTTCGCCTTCCTTTCTGGTGGCATTCGCAACACATGCCCAGACCATCGTTAACTGTGACTTCTCAATTCGAAGAGGAAGAGACTATACACCAATGATCTCGCAGATGTTTTTCCAGACCAAATGGAGACAGTAAGGCCTGCGACTCATCTCAAAAAACCAATTTCAGCAACTTCTACCTCGGTTAGAAACTTTACACTCGTGGTCCAAGACGCATAACCGTAGGTAAGCATGTGGATAAAGGTCGACCTGAACATTGAATGCTTAGTTTTCAAACTCATCTTTGCTTTAGTCATAATGGTTCCGGCTTGTGACGCAACTTCTTGGCACGCCGAACGCCACTGTGTACTCTAATTCGCCGGTCGATCTCTTCCTCAAATTTTCCATCACTAGTAAATACGATTCCAAGATGCTTGATCTTCTCCACCTGCTCCACTGTCTCTCCGTTAAGCTAAAGATAGCAACGCGCAGGAAAACGAGAAAGCACAAGGCTTTACATTTTAGATGCGTTCTCACGCGTGCCAGTCACGTCGCCTTCAGCTGCGAACCTTTCCAGGGAGCACAGTAGCTCTCTTTCATAAGATGCCTATATGACAACTTCGTCTTCAAACAGCGACTTTCTTGTCTTCACCTCTCCTACACCGACACACACATCGCCTTCGTTGCTCCTGAATATGCTATCCATGTACAACACAAACAGGAGAAGTGACACAATGCAACCTTGGCGTCGACTAGTGAAAACGTGCAAATGGTGTGCCAGAATAGCTTCTTTGCTCTCTGAAAATTCGACTCCAACACCTCTTCCACTTCATTTCACATGTCATCTTTGACTTTCGCTGCCGCCTTACGTGCTTCGACTTATCGCATTCGAGTTTAAGGCCCTTTCTTTCTTAGCCATTTCTTGAATGCAGCCATCTTCTCTTTAACTGCCAGTTATACCACTTTTTCGACCTCCAAGCGGCTGGCCAGCTCGTTAGCGTCCACAGCATTCAGCGGCAGCCTCAAGTATGCCGCTCTGAAATAACTGCCACACGGTTTCCACATCAGTGGTCATCGCCGCAATCTGTTCAAACCTTCATGAAATGTTGTTTGCAAATTTCGCTCTCGTATCCACTGGAGATAATGTTTCACGTTTGATTCTCTGATTGCTTCTGCAACCAGATCTTCTTATGATACTCCATTCCTTACAGCATTGCGTGACAATGACAGGCTGGTGATCTGTTGATAGCTCTGCCTCTCTCGTAACGCGAAAATCCATTACTAAACGTTTTAAGTCAGATAATATGACTATCAAATCGATCATCGACTTCGGTGCACAAGCTTCCCTGTACCAGGTATGCTCATGACTTTTCGATGCTCGAAGAAGGTGTTCGGTGTTCATAGTAGAGAGTTGGTCTTCTAAGCCGCAAGAACTTATTGCCGTTGTTGTTAAAGTCTTAAGAGCCGTTCTTTCCATCCACACCTTTCCAGTTTTCAGTGCCTACTCCGGCATGCGCATTGAACTCTCCCATGAGTATGAGGAACTCCATATTCGACGCTTCGTACAGAGCACACTGCATTTACTCATATTCCCCCTTTAAATTAAGCGCATACACGCTTTAACCTGTTTTGCCCTCAGTCAGAGCATTGCCACCGTTCTGCTGATAGGCTTCCTGTCAGTGATTTCATCAGAGAGGTTGGGTTCTACCATAACACTAACACCGGCCTGAGCGCGCGTCTTGTTATCGACACATGAGTATAATGGCTTCCATCCCCTAAGGTTCAGGAGTCCAGAGCCTTGGTACTTCGTTGTCGAGAATCCAACAATATCGAGTTGGTACTTTATGGCCTTATTAAGTGACTTTTGTTCTTTTCCTCTGAGTGAGGATATGTTCCAATTTCTAACTTTTGGTTTGGTTCTCGTCGAACCTTTTCTGACGTGCTATACTGGCATCGCGCTGTCTGTCTCCTCTGTTCAAAACGGATAGCGACTCCGTTGGTGACTGCTCGTCGTTCCGTCGGTCTTCGTCAGTCGTTGTTGTGCTGCTACGTCCCC